ATTCACTCTCACCTCGTCAACCTTCTGGATTATTTACTTTGACGTAATAAAATGTAAAGTTAGAGAAGGTGTTGAATAGAGATCGGTGTTTCTAACTTTGTACAGATTGCATTGTGATCTACTGATTTATATCTAGTTTTTCTTTTCATTATATGAATGCAAATATCCCAGAACTTACTTCGTTTCCCCAATTACTTCTAATTGTCTCAACACATAGAGTATTTTGTCTCATTGAGTGTAAATATATGAGTTGTTTATACTTCTTGTCAAGATTTACTATCGTTTCTGTTCTTGTCATTCAACACTGAAATATTACTGTTAATTTCAAGTAATGACAACTCTGTATATTCTATGATGTTTTTCCTAATTCAGAAGAATCTGTGTGATATAAAATGAAATCGTATGAATCTACTGATCTTTTATTTCCTAAATTGACAAACGAAGATATAAGTTTTTAGATTAATTATTAAGTAGTATAATGTAAATCCGAGTAAACAAATAAAATAGAATAATTCCCAGTAAAAAATTATATGGAAATAAATAAATAAGGTTTATGATTATACATTCAGCTCTGATCCAAAAACTTTGTACGTTCATAGTGTTACTAAATTGTCTAAATCAACAATGAAGAGACAGTTGTTTAAAGAACAATCTCAATGCTAGAGCATAGATCACCGGTGGACTTATGATTGTTCAACGTTGGAAAGATTCGAACTAGAACAAAACAGATGTTCTATACTTTTTACTCTTAAAATGCTTCTCACCAGATTTCGGTTCAGAAAAATACCCGTCTTCAAGTTAAATTAACCTCCTCAAACCTATTTATCAAATAATATCTTTAATAACCACATCATACCTTTAAATTGAGTAATCACTGAGTTTTAGCCAATTCAGTCCATTAGTACTGATTAAATTTTATCAACTAAGTTGTGTACTATGCTTTGATGTTAGATGATTACTATTCAGTGCTCAATCAGTATAAATATTTCGGAATTTTGGATCAGCAGCTGACCGAGGGTTTGAGTGATTATAAGTCGATCTTACCGACGAGTCCTAACTCCTACAAAACCCAGATTTAGGGTATTTTGTGAACTACCACCAAACCACCTAACATCCTAAATGTTTGATAAGAGACTACTTAGTTCATTAAATGCTGTGATTCACATGACATACCATAGAAAAAAGTGAAGAAGTAATATTAAATTCACTTGCTATTGTTTACTTGAATCTCCTTATTAATGTTTAGGACTGCAGTTGATCAGTCTCTTATTGGCATATGTGCATCCTGTGTGGATTGCCTCGATATTGCTTTAATTCACAAGTACTCTAAGCAAAGATGGGTAGTGGTTAGCAGTGGAATCCAGGACGCGCGTTTCGTCCTACTCGGGACTCGTCAGCCGGATGTACCTGCAGCCTAGGACTGACGTTCACTCCGGGACTCGAACTCAGTACCGTTGCTTCAAACGTCATCGCGTTATCCAGCTGACGAGTTCCAAATAGGACTAAACGCACATCCTGGATTCCACTGCTAACCAGCATCCATATTTGTTTATAGTACTCTTTAATGTTTAACATAATGGTTTACACTAAACTGGCCCAAAAATACAACAACTAGTTCAATACTAAACTTGACTAATCTAGTCTATAATTTTTAACAAAAACTCGAACATTTTTACATTTAACATAATTACTTTACATGACCTAATCCAATTTAAATGATTATTTATATATTTACTGACCGATATATCTATGGAGTAGTGAATAAATTCAATACATTATGGAGATACATCATAACACTTTTGTTTATTATATAGAAACAAAGTATTCAACCTATATAATATTTAACATAATCCATTTATGAATTTATTAACAAATAACATATGAAAGATACATCATATCGGTCAATATATATAATTAGTCAATTGGAAAATATTAATATTACAATTAGAAGGGGTTTTGTGGAGATTGTAGTAATTTCAATAGTTGAGATCATCAGTCAGTTGAAGTTAGACCACCATGGGAAACCTGGATGGCCGTTCCGTCCTATTGTGGGACTCCTCAGAAGTACTCATCCACAATCCTGCTCGCGGGATTCGAATCCAGGACCTATCGGTCTCGCGCGCGAGCGCTTAACCACTAGACCACCGAGCCATTGAAGCACTAGACCAACAGCCGTCCAGTGCTTCCAGGTTCTCCATGGTGGTCTAGCTTCAATTGACTCATGATCTCAACTAATGAAATTAATATTACAATTACTAGAATTATTGATAAATATTTAATGACAATTTTTAAAATACTTTCGATATAAAATTTCAGTAAATATGTGAACAAAACCAACAAGACTTCCCGTCCAACTTGATAAGAACTTTCGAAAGAGTTTGAGAAATGCTTATCAAGATACTTTATTGAATAAAGTAATTCTTTTCAATTTGATTAAATTTATAATATGTTCATGAAGACTCTGTGAACGCTTAACCTTTACACAACTAAGCCAGTATTCATTGGCGTTAAATTTTAATTTCAATCAACTCATGATTTTGCCTGTGGTGGATAACAGTCTCATATGGATTGAATTCCACTGGTCACATGTTTTCACTAGAAATGACCGTCCAGTGCTTTCGAGTCTAGGTAAAATCAGTCCGCAATTTCAATTGTGTATATACTACAATTTCTACAAATCCCCTATAACTCTATAAAATCGAAAGCGATTTCTTTGTAAAATCCCTTGCAAAAACGGATTGCTTCAATCAAGGTTAAAGAATATCAATTGTTTCCACATAGTATATACATTCTAAACTGACCAATTCATGAATAACTTCGCTTAAATAGATCTACCTTTATATTATAAGAAAAACAGAAAATGGAGGAAATATCATGCACAGATATTTCAAGAGTAAATAACCAGTTACTATATTAATTAATGAAGAAAACCCACCGAGTATTTAAAAAAGAGTTACCACGATGTTTAAGTCAGAAACAACAAGTTTATACTGAAAAATGTTAGAATGATGAAGAATTTCGATCTTAGAAAACAGATGTTAGTTCCTAGTCTAGAACTCTTCAATGATGAATACCACTAAATCTAAAAATTTTTACATCAACTTACCCAGTAAAGGACTGATATTTCTACGATGTTTACAGAGCACTTGATTAATTTAAGTCATGAAACGGCCAAGCACATTTAACGACAGACCTATCATGGTCATTTTTATTGTGGTTCCGCGCTCTGCTCTTATACCGTAACGGAACTGGAATCACCCTTCTTTACAATATTAATTCGCAAACATAAAATCATGGCAATCCTACTATGAAAATATCGGATCCTAACTACTGTATCCCATCATTACGAAACAGATGTTAGTTTGTAGTTATGCCATTTTTTAGTGTACTTATATATTTCTTACACTGTTTACCGCAGAATGTGCTAATAAGAGGGATATCTAATAGGGTGCACAGTTCAACACTAAAATCTAATCACCGACGATATATTTTCTTTGAATCATATGCTTCGCCTTATTAAAATCTTTGTGACAAATTTTTAGTGCAAACAATTCATGAATCATATCTTTCTAAATACCGTACGCCTTATATTTTGAAATGTTGAGTCCATTTTGACCAACCTGTTCATATCTGTAAATCAGTATGGATTGTCATTATTTTCAGAGTAGGTATATACCACAAGCGATAATTTCATGAAGTTGTCTTCTACAGAACAATACTATTGCACAACAATTTTCTAGCTGAAGTCATTACATGATGCCAAAAACCTTCAAATTTAGAAAGAACTCTAAATGAAATTTTCCTACAGATCCTGATACACGAAAACCCTTTTTCATGTAATTAAGGTGACCGAAAATCCAAACATTTTAAGTACACAATTTTTGAGGTTATGAAATTTCTTGTCAGTGAGAAGTAGAATGCATCGAATGTTAGATGTTTGAAGTGTTCATTCCGACTGCTGTCAACTTGCATGTCTATTAATTCCATCCGTAGACAATGATTAGCTGCCACCATTCCAGAAAATAAAGCAGCCAACAAATTAAACTTTGTTTGAATTATGGAATCTCAAGAATGTTATCAAAATTTATTATGAAGCTCTGACGAGATATTTTGTATCCCTGATGTCGTTAAGTCCCACAGGTTGACTAAAAAGAAAGATGAGTTTACCTTGACATTCAAATCTTGAGTCTTATGTATATATATTTTACATGGTTCATAAACTACATCAGATAGTTGTACATAGCACCGAAAATTAAAACCCTATAACTGTACACTCGGTTTTACTCAAGGATTAAGCCATCACGACTTAATACTATTTATTAACTGCTCAAACTGCAGACTACTGAATGACTCTTAACCTGGAATGTAGCTTCTATCTTGAGGTGATAGTCAAACTCACCTGTTACGATGAACAAAATGGGTTATATTAAGTTAAATATTAATTCATATTTTGCCATGTCAGTTGGATAGTGGTAACAGACTCACCAACTTAGGATCCGAAGGCGAAGTCATCCTCCCAACTTTAATGAGTTATGATGATAGCAAGGTGTTTCCATCGAACGAGTATTTGCGGTGATAGTGACTTCCCATTTAAAAAGGAAGCAGTTAGAAAAGGTTGACCCTAAAAATAGCACACCTCACCCTGCCCTAAGGATTTCTGTCACTAAAGGTAAGGTCTTAAAACGAGTTAACCCATCAAAAACTACTGGTGAGAAGGCCGAGTATGAACGACCTCAAGCACTTATATTTTCAGCTCTGCAGTTAGGTTTTCTGTCATTAGACTGGTCCCCAAAGACTTATTTTTACATGGTGTAAGCGACCGTTCTTATATTCCTTATAGCATCTCAATTCATCGGCATTATTCCCTTTAGATTTCACTTGCAACTGAACTCTCGTATTTCTTGCCAGGCACATTACTGCAGTGAAGTTAGTCATGTTAGACACTTCTTCCGCTTATCAATATCACAAATTAGGAAATTTCAAAAAAATAACGCAAAACTGTATCAATTGAACAGTGAACTTTTAATCAAACAGTACATCTAATAAAAATGAGACATTAATGTAAATGACTTTTGAGCAGTGTAAAATCAAAATGTTGTTCATATTTTATTTCAACAGAGAGAAATAAAAAATACTCAATGAATGCAGATTGTTCTTCAAAAAGATAAATTTGTAGAAAACACACTAACAAACAATAGATGAATAGGCACAAACACAAATACAGAGACCAGATGAAGTATAAATGAATGAGTTCAAATGAGAAGGGGAAACACAAAAATGTCCTCTAGGCAGTAAAAATTAAGATTGATCATTATTCAATTATGGATTGATAGAATTAGATTTGAATTTATGTATATTTGACCAAACTACATTTATACAGTGCCATTCTGCATGTTCACCGCATAATTTAGCATTTTCAAATGATGCACACCAAAACGATGGACCACGTGTACATCTATTATCAAGTTAGAAGTTATCTTATGTGATTTCCTTGAATCTGATAAAGTAATCCATACCTTAGTTTCACAATGCATTAAGGCTGCACTACCGCATTCTTTAGCAATTTCTTTTGATTGACACCAATAAGATGGCCCCCATGAACATGGTTTTATACCTAATAAATGTTCAGATTTAGTTTTCTCAATTGGCTTTGGTAATGACGTCGTAGTAGCATGACTGTCAATAATATTATTATCTTTATTATCAATATCAATGCCATTAGTGTTAATTTCGGGCCAATAAGTTGCTGTACAATAATTTGTTGCATTACATTTTCTAGCCGTCTCTTTTGATGAGCACCAATAAGTAGGACCCCATAAACAAGCAATTTTATCAAAATCATATAAAGCTAATGGACTTAATTTGTCTGGATTTTCATTTACAGACTGATCTATTGTTTCAGAGAATTGTTCATTTTCACCATCTTTCACTGAAGCACAGTTGATTGTACGCTGTATAACGTATAAGTAATAAGAACAAATATAGAGAATGTTAATTAAAATGATCCAAACAAAAATTTAAAAAACGAATTTGTAATTATCCCTAAAACGTTTCGAAGCCATAACAATGAAAAGTTATTAGATGGAGCGAAACAGACCTTCAAGTATTAACAATTGTAGGTGATAGCCATCATAGATTGACCTTAGTTAAAGGACCTATTTGTCCAATGATTAAATGTTCGCCGAGAAAACGCGAAGGTCTTAAGTTTAATTCTCTTAGTGATCGGTGGTGGGGAATGTTCAACAGTCCCAGACTACGACAAAACATCTGTCTAATGTTCCTTTGTTTTCAACAGCACTGCACTACAACTGAAGCTAGTCAGACACAAACATCAACTAGAAAAACTAATTTCTACAGAAACCATCCAGGTATATTAACGATTAGCTTTAAGCACTCTCATTTACAGAATTGAAAATAATTACAAAATATCCTAGGAACGATATTCAGTAAATTACATCAGCTACCTTAAAGTAGGGCTAAAGCCAACCCAACATAATGATCCAGTGACGGAGGCATCAAGTGTTCCTTGAAGTCTTGATATGTAGAAAAAGTTGTTTGAAGAATAATGAATCAATGAGGAAATTATCTTAGTGAATAACAAAATGTTGATGGAGTAGAATGTTTCTCATCAATACCCGGAAACATTTTGTTTTCATAATCAAAAAGTCGATAGGAACAGCTTATCATTGAACAAAAAGTATCCATCCTTGCTTAATAGATTTCCCCGAAATATCAATATTTGATTAGATTTCAATTCACTGAGTACTGAATAGAATTTTAAAAACTCAGTGTTTTCCCCTATGTTTAACCTGATGCAATCAAAAACCATTTGCACTGAAAGCTGTCTACTATCCTCAAGAAAGTGGTCTCAGAAGTGTAGCCATTGCAGTGGGGAAGTTTAAACAGACTGAAACAGGCGCAACGATACTGAGTTAGCACTTTTAGCATTAAAACCCGAATAAGCCATTAACAAAGGTGGTTGTTCATTTTGTATTGATTGTTTGAATCTTCTTATTGACATTTAAGACTGTAGTTGATCCGTTTCTTATTGACATATGTGCATCCCGTGCGGATTGCCTCGATACTGTCAGTAAGTTACGAGCATTCTAAGCAGAGATGAATGTTGATTAGCAGTGGAATCCAGAACGCACGTTTCATACTAACAACGCGATGACGTTTGAAGCGAACGGTACTGGGTTTCAGCCTCTGTGATGCAGATACACGCATCTGACGAGTCCCAAATTCATTCCATTGCCAGAGGACATTTACCTCTGCTTAAAAGGTGGTTGGTGTTATCACACGCTAATAACCACTTCATTTTACCGAGTGGTCGACTTTGTAGCACATTATAAAGCTTTTGGACCTACACAGACTCATAACATCAAGAAGATTCAAGTAGCAAAAGTGAAACTTTCTTGACAGTGACTTGATTTGCCAACCGAGAAAATTTATCGCGAACGTTGAATCTCTAGACCATTGAGCTTGCATCCAACGGTGTTAATGTTTAACCTCAATCAATCCACAACACTGCGTGACCACCACCCATTGCATTCGGTGAGTAACTGTCTTACTCAACAAGATTTAGCTTCACTGGTCATGACTTTTTACTACAATTCCGGAAATTTCCTCTCGAAGCTGATAACTAATGGGCACATGATAATTGTCCAGTGCTTCCAGATTTTCAATGATCGTCTAACTTAAATACGTTTACGATTACAACGAAAAACACGTTAAACAGAACATTTTAAATGATCAAATAAATTTAGAATACATACAGCACATATTTGTTCGACATTATTACGATCACTCCTTGAACGAATCAATAGCACTCCAGCCTTTTCAACCACATCATAACACTAATAACAAGGTATGAAAAATAAACAAATCAACAGTAAGATATTTTTGACTGCTAATTTAATTGAAATAATAAACATCTCTACACGAAAACGGATATATTCATTAATTTAAACAGCTATGTACACACACATTGTAAGAGGTAACCGTCGGGTAGTTACGATCAACGTGAAACCTTACAAAAATCCCCAGTTGTCCAAGTTGTTACATCACAACGGGACAGTGAGATCAAATCGACAAAACAATAAGTAAACAAGTCGAAATAATAGCTATATTGATGACAGAAAGGACTAACCACAAAGAATCTAGTTTCAGAGGAACAAATAAATCCATAGAATAAAGAATAATATTGAAACGTAATATCGGTAAAAGTAGAATATACTGGTGGTCTTAAGTTAGCCAACCAGAATTACGACAATCCCTCCTGTATCTTGCACAAAATTTAAACGGCAGTTCTAGATAATTTGTATGTTATTATTAACTAGATGAAAATTGACTGTCATTGATTCTTAAAATGCTCGGAATCAAAGATATTTATTATCCAACCAAAATGTGAATTTAATATGGTGCTTAACCTAAATGATTTAATGAGTGTTTAGTTTAGAAAATATTCTCTTTCTAATTCTTCCTTTAAATCTCAACCCTAAGCTTCTTAAGTTTATAAACGTGAAGGTGCCAAAGCATTGGATTAAAACTGATGTTAGTTCGGTGATGAAAATCACAATCCTAATTTGTATACTCAACTCAAAACTAAAGTATTTCTTTTAATGATATCATAACAAATGTCATGTAGTGATGAAAACTCAATGGGATGGCAACTCCAATTCAGAATACTATCCCGACTCCTAATATGTAAACTTGACCTTTTTCGTTAACTACAAAGAACAATTCAATATGTGAGGGTTAATTATTCAAACTAAAGTTGTTATTCCAGTTATTTCACTACTTTGTATTATTAATCATTTTATAATTGTGCAGTGTTTTTTTGATTTACTGACAAGTCGAGGTTGGCAAAATGTACTCGCAGTCTTCGGGAAATCAGTGCTTTATAGGATTCAAACTAGTGTTGCTCAGCACCACATTTTTAGACGCCATTAAAAAGCTATTCAAGCTATAACTGATGACCTGTAGAAGTGAGATATGTACAGACTATTAATCACTGAATAGTAACCAATATCGCGGAAAGTCAGTTCTTTCAAGATTGCATGTACGCCTGGCTAACGAGTGTTACGTAACACGCAACCTAAATCCACGATTTCCTGTTGACTACCTCTAGTAGTCTAGCATTTCAATATATTGCACGTGATGTTGAGTCACTTTGACTAGTGGCTGGATTTCACCTTAATCAATAATATTCGATCAACACTAAATGATTAGACAAACATGACACTGAATGAGAACTTTCGTCTAAATTTGATCGAAAAGTTTCAAAGTATTTGGGCGCCGAGTTGATGTGATACATTAAAGAGGAAGAATGTATTTGTAAAATCTCAGCGAAAGAATTTGAAGTAAATCCAACGTTTCGCCTGGCAATCTGGTCCAAGCTTTTTTAAGGAAATATGATCAAACATCGATAATTTTGATGCTTGATTATATTTCCTTGAAAAAGCTTGGACCAGATTGCCAGGCGAAACGTTGGATTTACTTTAAATTCTTTCGCTGAGATTTTATAAACACATTCTTCCTTTTTGATGCCAAACATGACATTGGTCACTACTCATTGACCAATCAATTGTGCATAACGAAGTCTCAATAATGTATCGGACTGTCATACAAATAACTAATCACACTCAGATTTTTGACTGATAATATATATTTTATTCGCCTACCTTAAAAAAATCATGAGTGACAAGGCATTTACAAGCAGGTTTATTGATTAATCAATAAGTCCACTGCCATAAATAGCAGTGAATGTTATACACAGCAAAATCAGTGTGCATTTCATATAAATCATGAATAATCAATAGTCTTTTATCATAAAACACACTCATCAAACAAATCCGTAGTTATGTGCAGTACAAACTATACATGTAGTTTAAGGTTACTGATCTATCAAATAAATATAAAAATACTCTTACACTCAATCAACATCATATTATTTTTTTCAATGTGAAAGATGAGTAAATTGATGTCATAATAAACAGATATACAATATTAAGCTATTTGATTATGGATTATCTCTTGTTTTTTGACATCTTATCAAAATGAACCCAACAATATATATGCTCATTCGAACTTACATGCATAGAATTCCAGTCAACCCCACGATTTATTTAGTTCTTGAATGGGTATTATTTCGAGGTTTCATGACAGATCAAAGATTGACTTGACTATCATGCACTTTTAGAGATGAAACAGTATTTCAAAGTGAAGATGGAAAGTTTTAGAAGCCACAACAGAGAACCTACTTGTTGTGTTAGTGATGACATCATCTTGTGTGAACAAAAGCCTACATACAGTATAGAAAGGAGTCGTTAGATATTACTAACGATTCAATTGATGAAATCCTGACAGTTCTTACAACTAATCTAACATGAGATACTTACAGATAGCAACTAATTCATTGGATTTGCCTGAAATGCGTTAGAGAAACAAAAAGACGAACCTTTGGATAGGATGTTAAATGGAGCGAACCAACAGTACTATCATATGAAACAGTTCGAAAAAGAATGATGGGACAAATGAAACATTAAATTTGAAAACAAAAAAAAAATAAGAATACTGATAAATTTTTGTCTTCAGACCATAATGGTCAAGGGGAGTAGAGAATAAATAATGAAACTGATACGAATCGTCGAGATTCTCTTATAAAAATGATTTTTGTAACAAATTGATAAACAGCTGAGAAACCATTGAATATCAAAAACCATTAGACAGCTCTTTTGTCTTGGTCTGAGGAATTAAAAGTGAAAAGTAATTCATTTTAGCTAAATGATCTGAAGGTAATATACTCAACATGAAGCACAAGCGTTCATAAGTTCCTCAGTTTACGACAGTGCTGTATAGTGGATGATTAAAAAGTGTAAACCATTAGATTACAACTCATTGATCTAAAGAAACGACAAGTTCACGTTTTTGTACATTTGACGAATCATCAAACTAGTAGGACGACTACTCAACATAAATTTTGACTAAAATAAACACAAACCATTCTCTCTATCTCTTTCTCACCTGCTGTAATTCATTTTTAGTTTTGTATTCAGCGCATATACTGCGATTAATAATTGGTCCACCAAATAAATCCCATTGTAACAACCATTTAGTTGTCATAACAACACACACGGAACATGGTGATTTATTAATTTTGTCATTATTTAATGATACTGTTGAAATACTGAATAAATTTAAGAAATTTTTCACTTGTTGTTCATAACATTCATTTAAACGATTACATTTTTTAGCCAATTCAGAATTAACACATATCTCTGTTAATTTCATCAATTCACATTGTGATTTAAATAATTTATTCTGATTACTTGGTGGATACGTTTTCCAACCATTGGAACTGCAATAATTTACAGCATTACACATTTTTGCTGTACTGTAATCCCGACACCAATAAGTTGAGCCTAAAAGGCATGGATTTTGTTCGGATAAACTCCAAGCTGGTATTGATTGGCAGAGCGAAATTGTCTTTAATAAGATTGTGAAAAAAACAATGATAAACATGACAGGAAAGAAGTTCAATAATTTGTATGAAATTATTTAAGCTCATTTACGCCAACAACAACAACTACTACCACTACTACCAAAAACGAAAGAAAAACGACAAGAATGAATGTATTTGATCGTTTAAAGATAAGAATTGTCACAATACGTGTTTCTAATTTGATGTGAATGTTATGTGCTATAGCCTGTAAATTATCAAGTGACAAGATTGCCAATCAGAGCGCCGACTTATATGATTCTGACACTGTGCCAAACCAATGATGCTTTAACCAGCACGAGCAGCCTAGAGTCAACTCTCAGTACTTCTTGCCTAGTCCTGTCCGTTTGAGTCCAGAACACAATCTCAACTTCCGATGAATGAATAATGTATTTCAGACATATGTAATTTATATATAAGCAAATCAGACCGCCTCAACGATTGAATAGAAAATAACTATTATACAAGAGCAAGCCAAAAGTGGTTGTGAGTGTGAGGGATTGTACCTAATAGATTGTGAATAAATGAAGAAAAGTGACCACCACCTAACGATTCTTGACCCTTCAGAAATACAAGTTAAAATTAGTAATTTGAAGTAATGGGCGTATCAGTTCTAAAAGATTTTATATCAGAAAATACAAACACGACACATCAACGTATCATCTTACACGATAACCGACCAATTCCATGGTTACTGTGACAAGATGCGATCATCTGATAATCAACAAATTGGGAATAATATAATAAGCAAAATTTATGGTCAATTAGTAATACTAACGCTACGCCAACTGTATTGTATGGACGACATGTTTTTTGATTAGTATAAATAAAACATGTTTCAGTGATATTAGTATTGACGTACATTGCGAGGAGGGATGATGAAACATTCAACTCGGAGTATCACAGCTCCATATTCCACAACGTATTAACCACCACTTTATATTTCTACCAGCGTGCATTATCTTTTATACACAACGTGTAACACGTAATCTGAATGTGTAATCTTCCTTTGGAGTTACATTCTTATTTCAAAATAACTGAGTTATATCATATTCAACTGCAACGAAAAATGAAAAGTATGACTTCTGCAAAAAAGAACGTTCAATAATTGGGAATATAATGAAGACAAATTGGGAAACTGATGACCAGTTTCATCTCAACAACTTCCGTAATATAAATATACAGATTCAATAATAAGCATAAATGAAGTATATATTCTATTAAAATCTTGGGCAAAAATAGATTACCGACGAAAATGAGTGAATTTTGTCGACTATATGAAGAAAACAAAAAAAATCTTACTTGACATATCTGCTCTGGTGTATAATTATTTTCTATTAGTTTAATGACATCATCGAAATAACGATCAATCAATTCGGAACACTAGAAGATGAAGAAACACAAGAAATGCATATACAAAACTGATTAGTCGAAGAGATTTTGTAAAGAATGGTTTGATTTATAGATTATATTCGTCACAGACCAACCCCAGTAAATGTACCATTGAAAACCTGTTTCGTTTTATCGCGGGACTCTTCAGTACAACACGCCGACCCTGCCAGGGACTAAAACGAGGATAATGGACTTGGATTCGAGGGACTTGGCACAATATATCCTAGTTTCCAATGGTATTCTAACTAAGGCCAATTAATCGAATGATTGAATTCCGCATCAATGTTAATGACTTTTAAACTAGTTCATGTTGCGTTCACTAATTATGCAATCATCTATCTATCTATCTGAAATAATGTTAATGGCGTAATTTTTTCTATCTTATACACAACATTATTTCTAACCATTTCAATTAATCATTTTACATTATATTTACCACTTAATCACAATTAAAATATTTTAGAAACGTTAACAATATTCATATGACCTAAATTTCTTAATATATATTTTCTCTTTAAAATCGATCACATAGAAACTTGATTAGTGATATTACAATATCACAATGGGCTTTAGAACAAATTCCTAAAGGTTACATAATGAGAAGCTATGAAATCAGATAAAGCAGAAAATCAGACAGTTTCAAGGGATTTATGACATTTGCTGAAAAACATGCTACATATTACCAGTCATGCTGTAATATATTGATGATCAATGAGGATTCATATTTAGTGGGTAAACATTCATCATGGATATTACTGTAAGAGGATGTGTAGGTGGTGAAAACCTGTACTAACTTACTTATCAAGTACAGATGTTCAGCTTCAGGTTACACTGTTTAGGTGAGAAATAGTGATTCTATCCAACTGTTCAAAGCGAAGATAATGATGAGCAGACCTCAAATTTACAACCCACATATCGAGACCTGAGTGGTTGGAATATCAAGTCATCACTCTAAATGAGGAGTACAATCACGATTATCATCGATAGACCCCTTTAACTTCATGTTTATATTTGAATTTCTATTGAAATATTTTTTATTAATAATTACGTGATCACTATTATTATTCGAGTTTTTTTTAATCACACTAAATGTGAGATCAATAAATGAAAGTTATCAGCAAACACCTAAACTGTTAGAATCTTGTGGTTTGCTCAAATAAAAACTAATGAGTATCATTTTGTCCGATTGGTCCTTTTCATAGTCTTTTGTAAAGCAAGAACGTCAAGCAATGTCCATGGGAAGACATACGTATTGGACGTTTATTATTCAGTAGATTCCGGTACTCTTCTAAGTGATAAACAGACAGAATAATCACAGGCTTCTGCGACATGCAGAAGACGCTATTTGCAGCTTCAACCCCAATTGATGAGTACAAAATGAGCTTGTGTTTCATTAGACACTACTTTGATAACCGCTTCACTGATAGCCGCACCCTGTATATTTTATCTCACCTTTTTAAAATATTTGCAATTTGCTGTATGTATGTTTGACCTCTTTTTGAGAACAAAGAGTTTAAGAACTAATGATCGTTTTCGATAACTTCCTGATTAGCCTCCGCAGTTATAAATCCAAAATTATCATTTCTGTGTTACAATAGACAAAGAATTAAAGTTGAAATGGTTCATGTTATAAATTGAAAATGCCAAGCATCACATCGACTGAGTCTTTAATACTATAAGTTACTAAAGGGCAAAGCAACTTCATTATTTATTCTGGTCATATTTCCATTCGTAATTTATAATTATTTATTACAACTAATCTTATCAATGTAACACTACGCAATAGGATGCTTAATCCCCTATCTATTTCGTCCTATTTTCTGATATCTTCAAACATTATTACTATTATTAGTGTTATTACCATCATTATTATGAATACAATTGTTTTTTCGACAATTAAGATCACTTTCATCATTCTGTCTACTGCGACCATAACAATTTACTCCTGTTTCTTACATTCGATTACATCATATCCACTCTTTTTCTTTTGTGCGCACTTATACATTGGACTTGTATGAATATATGGAAAGTAATTGTAATTATTTGTCATCAAAGTAAATGTGACTGCATGCATGTTACACATGTAATTAGATTTGTAAATCATTTCATTGATTTATACAAATTAGCGGCATACTTAGAGGACTTAAAGTACAAACAAAATGAAATGAATTCACTTTATCACAAAATCGTTGTTATTCATTCTTGACTAAATTAGTATTATTGATAACTTACTCTATCTGCATAGCCAGCAGGTAGAACGGAACATGCATTTTTAATCAGATGTTTCAATTCCTCTTCTGTTTTATTATTTTGAAGTTGTCCATAAAGTGTTTCAACGAAAAATTTACAGGTTAAACAAACATCTATACCAGATGATAGAGTTGCAGTCTACATCATCATTAAGACAAATATATATGTAGAATGAGAAAACAAGATCTTGTGATTAATAAAATACTAAGCACTCAAAATTACGAAGAAAAAGTAAACTCAATGATAATAGAAAGATACTGCGAATTATTTGGAGGTTTATAATCGTTTTATGTTATCTAAATTGGATATAAATGGTTAAACAAAAACGGTACAATGAGATTGTTTCGTGTATAGTGAAAGCCAAAGTGACTTTTTAATAGTGGTGTTGCTAGGCTACTCTGCCTGTAACAATTCAAATGAACAATATGTTCGGTATGAGTAGTTTCACATTGCATTTGTGAAATCTGGTTTCTCTAAACTAACAAAACTCGGTAACTGCTTCCAATTATTGTTATAATAGCAAGTTCGTTTGTATTTGACGAGCACATCATCCTTAGACAAAACGAAACTATCCAAGATATTAAAAAACTGTACGAAATAGGAATAACGTATAACAGGAAATCATAGCACATTACAGATGATAACAGAATCTTTAAAGATCAAAATATTATTCAAAAATATAGAACAAGGAACTACAAAAGTCAGTTTTACGATAAATTACATAAAAATCTACATGGAAGCGGTAGTTTTTCAAAACAACCAATGTATCTTGATGATGAAACTTTGTTCAACCTGCGAAAGCGAAACGAGACTATAGTCTACGGATTTGAACAATTTATAATGTGCAATTAAAGAGGTACGATAAACGGAAGTTTCAACAAGTATATACATCCATTGGATGAGATTATTAAAATGGGAAAATCTTGCGCATATTGATCGCCTAACCTTATCAAAGAAAACCATTTATGAAAACAAACCACTTCTCATATCTTAATAAAAGAAACAGTGGTACTTGCTATTTCAAAAAGTTGTTAGCACGGTTGAAACAAACGAACCTGGCCTAATGTTTCCCCGATTGTTTAATTTTCATTAATTTTTTTAAAAATTAAAGTGATTACAGTCTCCAGAAAGCCCGAGAAATAGCTTAGATAAATTAGCTATACACATATGTGGATTAAAGTCACCTATATTACTTAAAAGAAACACTAAAGTGAGATTACAGAATAAACAATGTAAGTTGCTTGCGCATACACCTCTGACTCCCAGCTGTTTTGAGAAAAAGTTATGGTTACTAATCAGTAGTATTGTTTGAATCCGAAACATGTGTGGATAATTCAATCTATGAATAAGATTTGCTCATATATATTGTTGCATACCAATGGTGTATCGATTTCAGAAAGAATGTTAACGACATGAATAAAAACTATTAACAACAATTTGCATGTGACTCAAAAGAATGACTGCTCCATTTTTAAAATCTGCTGCGATAGTAAGAACAAAATTAAGAAAAAAAAACACTATTTTCTATCTTTAACACAATCGCATATATATAGGAAAACTAAAATACTGCTAATGTTATATAACTGACATATCTCGATCACTTAAACTATATTTCCTATTAATTCAATAACTAATTTATTGTTTAATGAAAAATTACAGAGGACCTTGATAAATATCAAAACCATACATTAAACACATCATTTGCACAGCTTCTTTGCCTTGTCCTTTACACACCCCATTATTCCTCTAATTCTGTTGTTATTTGGATTACTCTCAGATTTCTTTTCTTTTGTCTTCGTTGTAATTTTCTGAAAGGAATTCTACCACCGATAGTGGTTACACACTACTTATAATTGTCAGAATAAGTAATCTACACCACACTTACACAATTGTTCAGTAATAATGAAATGAATCTGTGAACATTACATAACCATTTTAAAATAGTTACCGTTATAATTAGATTATAGGTAAATTTAACAGCGTTATCTGTCTAAATATCAATAAGCAAAAAGTAATTTCAATGGTTAAGATCATGAGTCAGTTGAAGCTAGACCACCATGGAAAACCTGGAAGCACTGGACGGCCGTTTCGTCCTATTGCGGGACTCCTCAGTGGTGCGCATCCACGACCTCGCCCCCTGCGAGATTCGAACCCGGGACCTACTGGTTTCGCGCGCGAGCACTTAACCACTAGATCACTGAGTTCTAGTGAGAAGTAGTGACCAGTGGAGTTCAACCAGGTTTGTTGTGAGATAGTAACCCACTGAAGACAATGGTGGATATGTCGCTCAATTTCGTGGATTAGTTGAAGTTAGACATTAACACCGTTGGATGCCGGCTAAGTGCTCAGTGGTCTAGTGGTTAAGTGCTCGCGCGCGAAACCAGTAGGTCCCGGGTTCGAATCTCGCAGGGGGCGAGGTCATGGATGCGCATCACTGAGGAGTCCCGCAATAGGACGAAACGGCCCATCTGATATTAAACAAAAAGTAGTTTAAGTCCAATATTCACTAACTAGAAGGAAAAAAACTATTACATAATTGATATTATACTGAAAAAATTTATTTGTTTATATACAATAGAACATTATTTGCGATTCATATCCAATAGTAAATTGATATGATATGTCATTCAATTGAATTTTCTGATACTTTTCATTTAATAATACATTCATTTCATACTACTTACATTCAATAGATACAATTTATGTAGAATTTAGTTTAGAATAAACGTTTTAACGACTTTTTATTATTTAACTCGTACTAATTCACATCATAAGACGAAGTATTAACATTTCTATACATAAACAGTTGAAAGTTTACAAAAAATAGACTAATTTATAACGAAATTAGTTACTAAATAGAGTTAACATAAACAATTACACAATAAACTTATTATTCACTCAAATGTTCTATCTCACACACACACACACACTTCGTCACAATATAACGAAATGAAATGTTGAACAACGAATACATAAACGTTCACATTTAGTACAGTAGATAATAAATTGTGATCATTCATGTTAACACTGTGATCATAACGTATATGGTTGTAATGAAAACAAGACATTTTATTAAGTAGTGTTTATATGTATAATGTCGTGGGTTTTTAGATCAGTCAATTTACATTTTATTTCAAGTTACAGATTCGTCATTTCAAAATGGATTGAACACATATAGTGTCAACACAGTGTTAATGATGTTGAGATTCAATAATGTATGTTCAGATGGAGTAATAAAAATTCAACTGGTGCCACGATCATAAAACATTGCAATTGGATAGAGCTTAGATATACTTTACGAAGTTTATCTCGGCGAATTCCAATTTGTGCATTATTTGCCGACGATCGGACTGAATGGAAGACGGAAATAAATTACCGGTTTGTGACATACAACCGTGAAATGAAAGACATCAAGCGGTTGGAGCTGACCCAGGTTTCAAGCAAGTTGGAACTCATCAACAAGGTATATCCGTAATCATGAGGAAACTGATGGGCTATGGGATTCAAACCCAATCAACCAGCTTCATGAAAGGATAGGCATTTGCTGGTCTATAACAATAATCAGGCTAAAGTTCTAGAGATCATGTAACTGGCTGAGATGTTATTAGACATAGCTCGGGAGAGAATGCGGGGACTACCCTGCTATATTTATTTCATAAACGCCCTAAATTGAAGATAATCTAGCTTGGTTGCTTTTCTTTTTGTTTTCTCAAATTGAAATATACCCTCTTATAAATAATATTTATTTGTTGTTGATCGATTGTATGAACCTTCCTATTTCTCCTTTTTCAAGTACATTATCGTTCCATTTTATGTGGCGCATTTTTTAATGCCCGATAGTGCTAACATTTAGGTGTCATGAACAAACAGTAAAACAAATATTTGATAATTTAATAGTTGAATTCATGATATTATCCACAAAAGCCCTTCTCTGATTAAAATATTTGATGCTCATGAACTATTTCCCGATGTTTAACATTGTGTACCAAGTTAATGATGTTATCTCAGCCGACAGTAGATGACTGAATCTGGTGCAAAAGAACTACTAATAAATATTGTTATATTTAAAAAAATTTCTTAAGATGATTACTGTTAGTCAACGATTTGACAAAAAGACAGATTAACTTATCTAATAGCAGTAAAGTGAGATAATAATTAGGTATATTACAAATAACTAACAATTTGACTTTTGTATTAGGACCGACAAAATAGCCTTCAACAAGTTGCTTGAGACATCCATTAGGCATAATCTATAATGGGAGCTATAGACAATTGTCATTTAGAGTCTTTTATTTATGAATAGTAAGATGTCGCTTTTATCTATCATACAGATTTTTACTAGGATTATGATTATTGAATAAAAAGTAATCTTTTTTTCTCTCTTAGCTAATTGTGTTAGACACTTCTTTTTGGTTTTTGTTAGACCAGACAACCATCTACTGTTTTATGGCTAATCCATGCTGCTTATCAGTCAGTCAGTTGTAAGCAACACAGGACTTGACACATGTGTTCCGATTCAAATTGCTACAATATAATAACATAGTGAGATGGAATTACCAAGAGAACTGCTAGAATAGTAGCAGTAACAGTGCAGAATACTAGGCATAGACAATATGCCCCCAAATGCCCTGGTACGGTCGAGAGTGGGGAGAGTCCACTCTCCCTCTCGAAATTCTCTCATATGGACACGCGTATATAGCCTCTGCTAGCGAAGTCCTACTCACTGCCTTCTCGTGACATTACTGTTGTTCACGGAATAAGGAGGACGAAAAGCGAATGTCCGGCGCTTTAACGGGGTTGGTGGGCATGGAGAGTTCACCTAGGGGAGTTGGAAAATCCTAATTCCAAACCAATGGTGCACATGGGCTCCAGTATCCTGAGGGAACAAATGGCGCATGAACCAATCGTTGGTCAACGACTACCATGGGACTGCATCTCTTTACGATGTTCTACTGCCATGTGGACCAGACCTTTAAGTCGAAGGCTCCAGATGTGACCTACTAAGAAAACCACCTGATTCGGTTTGGGCACCCGGGCAGTATCACAGCCCTCATACATATCGAATGAGATTTGTGTGGCGCATATGTATTTGGTGTCTTTTTGTACCAATATCTATGTGTTCAAATAAATAAAAAATACATAGACAATATGATTTAAGAAAGAATGATTGCTATTTCTGGTAACGCATTCACCAAATACAGATTTATGGACTTGGCTTTGTATCACATTGCTTGTGTGAGATTTAACGATAGTACTTATTTACACAAGAAGAGAATTAGGTGGAGCAAGCTTTGAAACAGACTTATTGGTTATAGAAGATAGGTGTTTCAACCACTAAGCCATTGACATACCTACTATGTGGCGAGTTCCTATTTATGAACCATTATTGTAATGATTGTAAAATTGTATCCAAACTACATAATTTACTGATGTCAGCATTAAAAGCCAGTTTTAAAAAATAATGGAAATCATTTTCGAAAAGAGCAGTCACGGAGGACGGAAACAATATTACACTTTATTTTGACAAATAACCACTCAGAGCAATAAAAAACACATGAAGATAACAGTATCACAACAGAAATTCAAGCAAGAATACCGCTTTACCGCAAATTAAAATAAGAGCGACGTTTTTTTAATAAGAAACGTGTGGTAGATACACACCACTTTTAGAAAAGAGTATATGGACAGTAGAAAAACTGAACATTTTTATACTTAATACGATGAAAATAGAAATTATTAAAATCCTTTCTTCATCAGCGACGAATATACTTCTTAGGATCTCTCTCTACACGACCCGGCTACCATACTCAACTAGCCTCGTCCCTGTATAAGTGGGACAATCAGTGTTACAAGATAGATACCGAAAACGCTAGCATATTCTTGTGTTTAAATTATGGATGTACTAACAATATTCTCACTGTGATTTTCACTCTCATTCAATTTAGTTTATTTGGAATATAACTACGCACCTGTCCAAGCGGCGTCCTGACTTTGGGAACTAGCCGAGTGAAGTAGTATCTGAAGAATAGCAAGTAATGAGAGTAGCCAGGTTGTATAAAGAGAGATCTTAACAAAAATATTGACTAGTTGTTAAATATTCTGTTGTTTACATCCGAGTAAAAAAATTGGTAAATTCGAAAAATGAAACACTGAGAGCAGTTTAGATGAAGTTTCGTCCCCTGAGCTGGATGGTTTGATCTTGAAGCTTTCATATCCTTCCGAAAAACATCATCAGCACAAACTCCAGGTACAAATGAAGTGTTCGAATTTCTCTACATATAACCCACAGCTTGTCCTGTAGACCTCCATCTTGATTGGTTATTGTTAACCTTTAACCTGTCATTGCTTACTTCTTGTACATATATAGAACCAAAAACCAAATTATTGTGGAATCCAATCGAAAAAAGTAAACAATGACAGGTTAAAATTCAGAAATAACTAATCAAGATCGAGGTCTACAGGACAAGCTGTGAGTTATATGTAGAGAAATTCGAACACTTCATTTGTACCTGGAGTTTGTGCTGATGATGTTGTTCAGAAGAATAATGAAAGCTTCAAGATCAAACCATCCAGCTCAGAAAATAAAACCACCCAAATCATCCACCTGAGCTACAAACCTTCTCCACGATCTCAACGTTGAAAGCAATTCTTTTAAAACAGATATATTTGATTACTTAGCCCATTTTCCTTTCTAGGTAGCTCAAAAAGTATCATTTCATATTGTGGGCGACCGGCAAGCGACAACCGCCCTAATAACCTTTAATAGAACTTAGAACTGAATGATAAAATCAACAAGCTTATCACAAGGAAAGCATAATTTCCAAATTCTTATCAGTCAGTCATACACAAAGTAGGCACTAGCACATATGTACGTCGGTTCACATTGCCAGATCCCATAAGCATATCGAGAGGAAATCCTGAAAGCAAATCCTAGAGTAGTAGGGGTAATAACAGTATTAATTGAAATGGAAAAGATTAGATACTGAAGATGCTAGTCGATAAGAAAATATAAGTTAATGAAATAAAGTTCATGAAAAAAAATTAGAAACTTAGAATCAAAAGGAGACGAAGACCGAATGCATCTGTGTCGTTGCAGACGATTTTCAGTCACTTCACACAATATCTATGGCCATTAGTTACGATAATCAAGCGGAATTCAGCTAGGTACTTTATACCTATTAACATGGCTCAGTTCAACTATCCATAACTTCATGAAAGGATACTACGTCTTGTTTTGGTCACCCCTAGCTTATATCCAACCTAATTCTGCAAGCATATATTGACACAATAAATGAAGCGAGTTCAATGCCTTCCATTGTATTAGTCGTCCTTGTTTTGAAAATAAATGTACGAATAAACTATAAATATAATCTATTTGTTATTCTTGAGCTGAATTCCCTTTCACACTCTTAAACATTAATCACAGCCTAATATGGTAAACACCAGACAGATATTTGAACACTCCACAATCAAAAAACCAAAAAGTGTGAAGAGCGACAGACTTTCTAGTAATGATACTCATTACATCAATGTTAAACAGTTGTTGACACCAATTTTTCTAAAATAATAGACAAAATGGAGTGGGTAATCAATTTTCTTCGATCATAAGAAATATCGTATTTTACTGTTATGTCTATCTAACTACTTAAATGACTGGATGAAATATTTCTGGTACAGTAGCAAAATAACTCCAACTTGAACACCTCAAATAATCAGAATGACAATAAAATGGGTAAACACTACACAGTTAAGCAGTTCAATTTAACTAAACTAAACAGAAATTAGAATTATTATGTTAGAGGGACATAGACTGGATTAAATCATGCTCAATGCACGCTTGCGTTAGCGCACGCTGATTGGCTAATTCTTATCCAATCAGCGTTAGTCAATACTTAGTGAACTCGGTAGAAATCTTCTCATGTGAAAAACTATAAATATACTAACGTTTTCCCTACTGTGCTTCTTACTTCCATCTAACTTTGTTGTTTGGAATATAATCTCCTTTCCTATTCAACCGTGTTCTGATTTTGGGGACTTGTCGAGTGAATCGGTGTCCGAGAATACTAAGCAATAGGAATAGCTGGGTTATAACCGTAAGAGAGAATTATAACATTATAAAATAAAATTAAGACAACAGAACTTACAGTTTGAACTTTATGATCTTGACCTTGTGGTAGTGACTGTGATGATGATGGTAGCCCTACCTTCTGATGTATGGGTGAAGCACACAATCCTATACTTCCACATATTAGCTCAGGAGCAGTGCCGTCAATAATAGCACTAACAATTTTCGCTCCGTATTTTTCGACAAAGTTCTCACACTGTGTATCGTAATCAGATGGTAGATATTCACAGACCTAATATTTGACAAAAATCAAGTATATAAAGTAGCAAAGATAAACAAATTTTCTGAGATAATTGCGAAAATTTCCACTGACAATATTTAATGGTATGTAGAATAGTTAACTTACTCATCTGTAGTGAAATTTAATGTATTTGCTTTATGTGACTATAAAACAGTGCAGTGTATTTATATTTTCTACACCTTCAAGTTTATCAGATTGTTAAATTGAAACGACTCATGAAAACATGATAAACCGTAGGAAGGTCTATTAGGCTTAGCAATCTGAAATTGTAACAGCCATGAAAACCAGTGCTACACACCTACATAGATATTTTCAATCAATACAAAGCACATGATCTAAACTCTGGGATGAAATCCCAAACCTTTTGGTTTCGGCTGCTAAACTAAGTCACATAAGTCAATGAAAGTTACAAGAATAAAAAGCTGACCAAAACTATACTGTTTTAGTGATACGTTAATAAGCATAAAAGGTAGGTTTACGATGTACGAAAGATTAAATTACTTGATCAATAAACTTCTAAGACTGCCTGTCCTAACGTTGGAATAACCTGTTTTCCAACTGTGAATACTACAATTAACCTACCTGTTTTAGATTTCTTTAAACTGAATAGTTATAAATGGTAACTGTATATATTCATATGCTATCATCAAACAGGAACAATCGTTCCTATTGTTATGATACTAAATACTAGGAAACTCAAACTGAAGCACTACAACTCTTGGCACATCTACCTTTAATTTACATTTTGCAAACAATGAAAGACTAATATATTGAGATCTCAACACCTTACATATGATGGGTTGGGAAGTAGTTATGGCAGATAAACTATCAGAAAGCTCCAATCATTGAATATGGGTGCAAGATGATGACTTTGGAAGGAAAATTTACAATATATAAAATGTGGCTACCAGTGGGATCCAGGAAACGCGGTTCGTCCTATTTAAGACTCGTCAGCTGGATTTCTACTCCGGAACTCGAGTACCAGAGTGAACAGTAGGAAGAAAACCGTGTCCTGGATTCCACTGTTAGACGCATTTCATTCATTCTATACTAACTTGCATCACAATGGCTATATTGAGGCAATCCGCATATGACGTATATTTGCCAATCAAGACTGATCACATTTAAGTCCAAATATCAAAAACGGGATCATCTAATCCATTTCCAATCGAACTAATTTTAAAATATTCTGAATAATCGCAATTCTGAATGAGTGTTAAAGAGATATATATTGTAAAATTGCATAGCTAACAACGATAATTCTTCACTGTACGCAAAATTTATAGTAATGAATAGAACTATTATTATCATTGAAGGTCACCCTATCCGCAATGGATGATACAAATCTAAATTTTAACTATAAAAGTTATATCTGTCAAACGGCTGATCATTTCAACCACATGACATTTAAATAATGAGTGTTAGTAAGTTATCGTGAAAAGCGCATATAGCAGGTACTTCAGAAATCGAAATCAGATTTCATTTTCAGTTCAGTCATTTTACACCCAACTAATGGCTAAAGTCAATAAACTAAATAATACTACAAGGTTTATAATGACTAATGAAGTAATATCTATTAACAACTGAATTACATAAAAACCAAGGCATCTTGAAGAAATGACTTAAGCCAAGTTGGGAAACATTACACGTTTTATTTTCTACTTCAAAGTAGAATATTACAAGTATGTTATCATAAATTCACCATATATTCTACCGATTATTAAATCTTGATAGTGATATTTAAATGTTAAAAATGACCTATGTACTACTGATTAGAACTAGTAATAGATTAAGATTTCCTTCGATAACAAAAAACCCTCTGTTGGACGTATTAGTCAATTCATATATAATAATGATAGTGCGAAAATAAACTAAGTTTTAAGAGATATCTTGATGGAAACAAATACCTAAAATGTTTACTCAATCAGTTTCATGACTAACTACTAATTATTAAATGCTTGTGAACACTTGGAATTCAACAGAAATTCACTTACGGAGAATTTAGAAATAAAATATTATGTTCCCTAGAAAGGACTTTCTACACATCAAAGTTCTGTGTAATCCTTTTTTCTTCCCCAATGTTTGAAGTATTCAAGGAAAACAAGCTAAGTTTGGAAATTTAATTCAGTGTACGTTGACTAGTTTATCCACTTTCGTGGTAAATAAGGTGCATAGAATGGCTGTATTATTAGCATTCTAAAAGCACTTCAAGCACATTGACTGTTGACAGTGCATAATAGAGTGGGATATTGTATGAATGAATTTTATAGTCTTTCAGATTATTCCAAATAGGTATAAGAATTCATGGTTTCTAAGTGATATGATGGCCAAAGATTAAGTCTAACAGCCAGGTCTTAACGGATCGGAGTACGAGTGACATAAACTAATTTCCTTTAATGACATTTTATAATATTTATTTCGTATTTATGTTCTGTATATAAGCATGTTTTTTGTTACATGAACAACTACTAATCCGATGGTGGTCATGTCTTTCATTTCTAACCATTAGGAGGCCGAAATCAACAATATTGTCTAGGCCACATCAAATCATTGCATTCATCTGTCGATTAGCCTTCTATTCATTGATTTCAACAGTTGAAAATTTCGTATAATCAAATCACAGAAAACCTTCTAAATAACTCTAAATAGATCTTAATTGAAAACGCTTGCACAACAATTTAGTTTGCCACTAACATCTCATCAATATCAAGGAAAAACATTTTTTATAAGTTTTAGAATTCACCTTTTCACTCTTTTAACCAGAATTAATCCCATCATTTTTGTTGCGTTAAGCAATAATTAATAAAATAATCAGTACCATAAATAAAAACGCAACTGATGAAAAAATGCTTACAGTCTCCATAGCTAACACGATTGCAGCTTCGGTTTGATTACCAATAGTTAGTTCAAATATCTTTTTGACCAATAGAGTACATAAATGACAAACACCGGGAATATCCTGTGATGTAGACAACGATGGTAACATTGTATCACCAGGTAAATTATTGTATTCACACGTACACATTCCAAACAAACCACACATCTCTTTAGGGTCCACCTCTTTCATACCATTGATTATTTGACCAAAGTTATATTCTATCGCTTCTTTACACTAAAATGTGTAAATCAAATTACTCATATAATACATAACCAAATACGCATTCCAGTAGAAGGTAGAGAAAAGCAGTAAATTCAAACGGAAATTTACAATGGGAATGTTACACGAGACGAGATTTAGTAGAAACATAGGTACATAGAAAACACAAACAAGAATCAGGAAGAACACAATTAAGTTGACTTATCGAGGCAATATATACAACTATTGAGCATCAGGTACTTACGACTACTATTTCATTTCATTGAAATATATTACTTATAAAAGCGGGTATTTACATCTCACTACCGTTATCTTAACAACTTAGTCTGTATCTGGTGGAGATAATATACAAGTATTGACGTGCATCGATATACTTCAGGCGACTGGTGATCTTATTGTCTGGTAAGAAACAAGTTAAGGACACGAAATTTCCTACCATGCTCTGTATAAGTCATTAAAGTTCCAAAACTTTATTTTATTGAAAAATGACTACCTCCTTTAAACTATGATCGCTGTGCAGGTAATGGATATGAATTAATCAGTAAAATGATAGAGACAGTTCGATTCAACTGTATTGTGCGAAATAAGTTTAGTCCTCAAATTATGAGCTAGGAAACTCAGAGACGGGATAAGTAATCTCCAGTCATTTAACATTTGTGAGATTTCAGTGAGCTGAGTAGGTACAGAGTATTCCAAATGCCCTAAGGCAAATTCGCATTAATGATTGTACTAGAGGTGGGGGGAGTAAGACTTGCAATAAATAAGCAGGATCTCCAGTGATGATGCTTTACGTCATACAAAGACTGGAAAAGGTTGGCTCCAAAGTTACCAATGATAAATTTTAAGAAGTACGGAGCCAGTAGTTAGAGCTAACTCACAAAATAGCATGTGAATAAGGTTAAGTATTTACCTCTTTGACATTAAATTCGCACACCTGGTCATTGAGATGATAAGCAGTATCCTAGTTGCTTAAGCAGATGCTTTATTCCAACTTCACGTCCAGCAGTATCCATGTTTATCATGTTTGATAACCACTTTCTTTTCATAAATTTCCATTCTTCCTGTCAATCTTTCCTCCCTAGCTTTGTTTCCTTCCACCTGTGAAATTAATCCTGATGATCAGAGTCTAAAAGTTTATAGCTGACTTTCTGAAAGTGCTTTCAGATTGTCCAGTTGAGCAGTACGTTTTTCTATGGAGTAGGTGTATGTTGTCCCTGATATCTTTAAAAACAACCCAAATAAATCTACTTACTTAAATCGGCCCAACCATATCACCGTGCGTATGACTAACGGATAGATAATGTATATGACGGTAAATATATTTGGCATATAACGTGGGAACGTAAGAAAGAGACATGAAATCTAAGATACAGCAACTTACAGCGGCGGCAAAGAAGCCCATATGTGTGCAAACCTTTTCATCAATCAATTCCTTTAAGCGTTCTTGTATAGTTGGGTTCTCAACACCTATCTTGAATTGACTCAGTACTGCTAAACAGTTTGGACAGGTTGGAGTTTCTTGAGATTTGTATGAAGTCCATTTATGACCGACACTACCCATTGGGCGTCTTATCCATGAAAATTTTCTATCTTCATTACATTTCCTTCCTTTATTAGTCTGAACATTATATATATATATACCAGTTAGTAAGTTGCAAGAACAAGTAGTCGTATATTTAGTAGAATAATTCACAGAAAGAACTTAAAAGTTTGATTTCATTTAACGGCAAGACACATATTTCATACTTTTTCGATCTTGAAATTTTTACTGTACAAACACAAGCTCGTGTGCTCTAATGCATTTTGCTACGGCTTGAAGTAAAAACATCAAAATTGGTTTCAAATATTACACCAATCCATACATTTCAAATTATAGTAATTTGCTGACATAAGCTTTAATTAATGCATATGTATATAACATAAAAACTATCCATGAGGTAAACTAAAATTCATGGTGCAAACAAAAATGAACTTAACGAGAAAAGTAAAAGAAACGATTCAATAAAATGCGTAAATTAGTACAATGTTTAGTACTTGGGATGACGAAAAAGAACACTAATTTGTAGCAATCGGTGTTAGGTACTACTATCTCAAATTATGGTCACGTGTGTAATAAACAACCACATTCGATAAATGCAAGCATAGTGATAACTTGATATAAAATATTATACAAAGGATAATTTTATAAACCAACCAGTAGTAAAGCACTGAAACGATACAACTACATCCTGTCAACTTACTGAACTGTTCGCACTAAATTTGTGCGATTGGAAAATAAAATTTTAACAGTGGTATTAGCCGTCTCTGATGTTTACTTTGATCGAAAATGCCAAGGCAGAAGTCAGCTCAGGATTAATTTGACAAGTCTGAAACATTAAATCTACTGCGTGTGTTACTAGCAAACTGGAGCACTTTGGATAATCGAAAACTAGGTAATATATACTCTGAAATGAAGCTGGGCATATCAGACTCCATAATACATGCAGCTTAAATTATTTGAGGTACTGGTTACTGGTAATTTCTGTATTATTCAGTTAAAAACGCTAGGGTGTAGTAAATCTACTTGCTTACCATGAAGTTGGCCAGTGTGAATTTTGTCTTCACATTTACGCAAAGACCCAGCGTTGCACAGATCTCTTCAGGACTCTAAAATAACTAAGATAAATTCAGCATAGTTCTCACCATCTTTTCTGAAATGATATGCAGGACATATGGAACGTGGACATTTACCAAATTTTTGCAGTATGGAATTATTTCACCTGGAAGATTATTGCAGACTAATTCATCAAGCTGTGCTTCAATCTGTGCAGCAGTTGAATTGTCTTCAATAAGCTTACGCATATCATTGACCAATCGTTTACAATCATCACAGAGTGGAACGCCGAAATTTAGATCCTTGTTAATGTCAATCGAAATGTACTCTTACTTTGATGTATGTATGAGAATCACAAAGCGTAAGGATGTTACACAAAACGTCATTGCGATTCTAATGATATTTTACTTAAAACGGCACTAACCTTGATATATTTCAGTTGGGATAAAGCGTTGATTATATTTTTGCACTAATTTTAACTGTTAATCCAACCGAAAAAATTACCTCTTCATTTTTAACACCAGTAGCACAAAGCAGTGGCTCAATCTTGTAATCCCACACATAGGGTGAGATTAACCGGCAATCAGTGCATTCGGAAGAATTATCTATTCTAAACTGCGACCATGGGTACTTCTTCCATTCACCAATACATTCAGGAAGAACATTATGCTTTTGTGCAGAGACAGCACTTCGGCAAACTAATCTGTCAACCGTAGTATGTGAAACAACTAAGGGTGATAAGAATATTACTAAAAATGTTATATAAAAAGAGAGATTATTACAAACAGAAGTCAACCGCAACATGTCTGCCAACATCCCAACTCGGTATTGCGGACAATCAGATCGAGTTACCCGAGAACTGAATGAAAGCAGTGAATAATTAGTTTCCGATGTGGAAAAACAACTTGCCATTGACACACCATCACTCAATGATAATACACAATTAAAGTATTTAAAGTTTTGCATGATTAATTTTTTATTTCGTCTCTGAAAATTTATGGAAGTCTTCAGTCGTCTTGTTTATGGGGAGCACAATTATGCGCTATTGTCAAAATAGTGAGGTTTTTTGCACTAAAGTGTTTCTTGTTCAAAAAAAGTTTCGGCTTGTAGAGATATATAAATCCCCAAAACAAATTTTTATGTAGGTCCTCGACATTGATGCTTACGGCATTGATTTAACTGGATGCACCTAACTAAAAGCTCTCGGTCACGCATCCACACCAGATCACGAGTGCCGTGTTACACAGTTCTTGCAACTGATGGACAACTTAGACCTAACGCTTCCCGACATATCGACAGCCTTTCACACACAACTTCGAAATCATTCATCTCTGATTTCTGATTTCACTGGGTTGATATAATTTGATTACAAATGTCTTACGTGTAAAAGCGTTGTCAAACTCCGAATATCTGTGACATCTTTACACATGTGCACGAGGAAGAGTCACACTCGGTAGTCGACCTAAGCGAGAGAGCCATTGAAAACTTGAAGTAAGTTTAACAGGTAGATAGACAGATGATCAAGCATAATCTAGAAGCGGCCAACGAATCGGTCATAAAAACACACGAATAGTCATCACTATTAGGCCATGGACTTCGTCTGAGCTTTTCATGGATTTTCACAGTTTCACAAACAAACCGACCTATTCGTGGAGCTTGTTTTCTCAGTGTTTTTAACCTACTAGTTGACATTTATGAAAAGAAACCGTTAGATATGCACAGTGGCCTGCAGGTAAGTGGTAATTCTGCCCTTTGTCAAATTTATGGTATCTACGTAGTAAAACTGACAAATAAATGCTCTACTAGAGAAACCACAAACTAATCTCTGTATCGTATTCCTCTTTGTTTAATATTCTGCTCCATGAAGTATTGCTTTAAATGAACGAACTACAACTCAAAGCTACCGAGATTAAATTTCGGTGTCACTAACGAACTAAAGAAGTTTCTAATTATGAATAACTGTGAAAGATAGTTCAAACACTCTTGCTCTTCTCATTCAAAATTAAAAGCAAAGTGGTTCGGTAAGAAACTGTTCCTTAAATGGTTAAAAATCTAAAAAAACTCTGTAAGGCCAAGGAAGTGTCATTGAGCTCAAACCAAATCATCTGGCAGTCGGGTCACTGAATGTCGAACAGCTAGTCGGTTCCTGTCAATATCAAGGACAAGCAACGCACATCAGTTAATCGTACGCCATGGACTGGCCCATGCGACGGTAGTATTGCTTTCCTTGTATCTACTTTGACTAATATATTTCTGTAATAACGTTCTTCAAGTTGTATAGTCTTCAAAGCATCTATAGTACCTTCATACATCAATGAGGAAAACCACGTAAGGTGCTGATCGCGAAGTGTGGCTTTTTCGTGCCCCTAGTTAACCCTCGTGCTATTGATAGAAGAAACCAGAAAAGTATGACTTAATTTAGATCTTCGCGCGGTCACAGTGGAGCGTGGGATTATTTGTTCAGACAAGCAAAGCCTCTCAACATTCGATGTAAGATAACAGGAAATATAACGTCTATACAAAATAAGGAAGTAAATGTATACTTGAACTATACTATTTTGACATATGCTTAGTTGTTCGAGGTGAACTCTTAACCAATCAACCTAAGCTGCTACAACTTTGATGTTAGCTGGATCGTCACACCATCCCCGTCAAGCTCGAGTAGTTCCCCAATCATTCGACATAGATCATCTACTCTGGTGATAGACAACACTACTGCCTGAACAAATGCTCCTCAAATTCAAATAAATAAATGAAAACCACGTGAAGTAGATATACTGATAAAAGCATAAGATATTTACCGCTTTCAACAGATAAACGTTTCTACCAGTACAAGAATATTATCCTATCCTCTGTGGATACATCATGTACAGTTCGTTCAGAAGGTAGTATTTAATCCCGTAAAAGTACCAAGAATAAATGCATTAAGAATTACTCATTACAGCACTGATCTTTTCCAGTTCTGGAAATGTGTCTCTATTCACTACTCAAAAAACACAATTCCAGTCATTAAAGTAATACGATCAAAAAATTGGGGACGAATCGTTATGGAACCCGTCATAAAAAAAACGCCGAACAGAGCAGCATAGGTGTCGTCCATGAAAATTACATGAATGTGATGGAAAACAAAGACCACAATACAAAATAAATAGTAACCGTTTCACCTGGAATCAAATGAAAACAAGATGTACAACTGAAGGAATGAAGAACAACAAGTTACGAACGTGTACATAGAGAGATTCTTATACACAAATACATAACACTTCCAAAAACAATCTTCAATGTGGGAGCTAAGGTGTTGTGGTAACAACATTGCCTAATTTTACTGGTGACAATTAATGTCCATCTCCAAGATTTCTACTCTGAGTTGAGTTTGATAGTCTATGGAATATAAAATGCCTGAGAAAGTATAAACTGGAGTAAGTCAAATCCAACGCTGGAAATATGAGGAAGAAATGTCTTATAAAAAATCAACGATATTAATTCGTCTGGTCAATCCCCTAATTAGTGTACAACAGTTCGCGTTTGAAACAAGGCCTCAGTGAGTATAAGTCGTTTTCTACCTTAAGCTAAATTTCATACTTGCAACTAACTTGTATGCAACATCAGCCGGCAGGCATGAATATAACGAAATAATATATGGAAAGTTAGAATAGTGAGTCTGGAGTATGTCTTTTACGAATACATTCATGTTTAACTAAGTTCTTTTAGTTATCTGTTCAAAATACATATAAGTATCGCTTTTCACGTGTCGAAAGAATTTTCGATAATAATTCATATTTATTGGTAGTATTACTAAATTCTGTCAATCTCCCCGTAATTAAATAAACCTTACCAAACTTAACAAACGAACTGGAATGCTGGTTGAAATTCTTCTTTTCCATGGTTATACATTTGTTCCTTCAGTTAACCTACTAATGCAGATGTAATTGAAAATCAACTCATACAGACAGCATGCCAATATGAAATGTCAACGGACTTTCTAATATGAACCAAAGGTAATACCGATATCAACATCGACACAAAATTAATTATTTTTTCTATTTCTAGGCACAAAATACTTGTACTGCCCAAATGTTAGGAGTTAAACGAAACATTTCGAAATTCTAACAGTTGCGACCGCCTTCTTTCTGATTTATTGTTTAGCTTATCAATACCCGGAGGATCATTATTATTTACGGTAACCTCTGGAGGGCGACAATCCCACTCAGTTTGCTGTCGAACCAACGTCACGTTGATTCTAGTAGGAAAGTAGTGTCGTGGCAATGGATCCTAAACATAATCCTCAAAGCTAAACATGAGATGACTGAGAAAATAAAATTTAGACATGTAACACTAAGAAAAGATCAATAATGGTGGACGCGGTAACATTCATTTAGAATTGAATTTATCGGATAGCATGGATTGGCCTTGCAAGCGTGGTCAATCTTTTGTGACTCATCACTTTTATTAATATTAAATATATTGTTCTATCTCCAGTTTTAATGAGTTCTTCATCATATACTGGTGATTGTCATGATACAATGATTCAGTGTAGACAGTGATAGACAATGATCTTATAGATTGGGCATGACGAAATATACAATATTAGGCCTGTTATTAGAGCAATACGAATAACGAAGTAGACCATCACTCTACATATTTGCGCCTCGTCATAGGGTGAATCAGAATACTTCAAGATGATTCGTTGCTCGCTTCATTAAAAAACATGAGGAGAAAGTGGAGCTGGGGGTCGCTACCTAAAACAAATACATACTTCAGTACTCCATATAGGAATTGTAACTCCTGCACAAAATAAGATAGTTAAAAACCATTTTATCTCTAATATTCTGACCGTAATAAAAAATTATCGGCTAACTTCTAGCCATTTAACTTCGATTACCCAGATTAACTTCTTGCTGGAACATTTATAATGTGTCGCGACAAAGCTCAATATGTGGATTTCGTTGCCCAAGCAGGTCGGTTTTTGTAGGAACACTTGTTTGTTCTATTTGACGTTTTAAATAATAGTACGTTCAATGTAATGTTATTAATGTTTTCTTCATCCAGTGTAAAATTAGCTGCCTGGTGGTGACTTTGACTTGATTCATTAGTTTAGGGTGCCATCTTTGCTTCTCAGTACCATGAGAGTATTCTTCATATGTCATCAACAGAATTGCTCTTACCTGGATTATCATCAGCAAATGATAAATACTATGTATCTTTCTAAACTCCAATATAGTTCATTCGGTCTCGAACATCGTGAAGCTTGTAAAACAGAATATATGGAAATTATAACCGTCCTGAAAATAATATATTGGTCACAATCAGTGGTATTAAATGGCATCTACAGTGGTTAAAATAAAACTACATTAAGTTGACAAGATCACAGATACATAGAATTAGACACCTTAATGGTCCGAAGTCTATTCTCATTTAATGAAGTCGAGAACGACGTAATATGAACATACATATAGATCGAAATTCTGTGTACAGTTACTTACGCCTGTTACCCCCAATGAAGCATAGGGCCGACAATCAGCAATTTCCAAACCACTCTGCCCTGAGCCCTCCTTTCGAATTCTGTTCAACTGTGTTTCATTCTCCCATGTCTGTTCCATTTCTCGGTGTAATGTGTTCTTTGGTCTTACTCTTCTCCTTTGACCTTGAGGATTCCATGTAAGGGCTTGACTTGTGGCACTGTTGGGTGTTTCCTCAATGAGTGTCCTATCCACTTCCAGCTCTTCTTCCTGATTTCTTCCTCCACTGGGATCTGGTTTGTTCTTTCCCACAGTTTGTTGTTGCTAATAGTTATAAATATATGGCTTTCGTAGTTGTACAAGTTTCTGCCCCATACAGTAGAGCTGTCTTGACATTTATATTGAAAATTCTGACCAGTGTTTGTCGACAGTTGGTTTGAATTGAAGATGTTCTTAAGTTATAGATATGCTGCTCTTGCT